CATTTTTTATTATATAATTAAAAGATAAAACTTATTATAATATATTATATATTTATATAATTAATTTAAAAAAAAAAATTTTTAAAAATATTAATTATTTATAAAAATAAATCAGAAGAGAATTTATAGTAAATAAGCAGGCAAATTTGCTTGCGAAACCCTACAATCTAAAGAATAATATAATTTCGGCTATTTATTAATTGCCATTTTTGAGTTTCGTCTCTCATCTTTAAATAGCAACTATTTTTGCTAAACATGAACAATATACTAAGCAGGAATCTTCTGATGAGTACTTTGGAATTCTATATCACATTTAGAGTCAAATATGACAGTACTTGAAAATGCTAACATAGGAATTTTAATGATGCAATTAAATTTGATCTTTTAAAATCCAAGTTGGGAGGTAAGTATATACCAATTCCTAATAATAATCCATATACAGCTACTAATCCTGCTATTAATTCTTCAGCTATTTTACGGATATGAATGAGAGCAAAATATCGGCGTGAAATAATAGGTAGTTAACAAGTAGCCTTTCAGAGATTAATTCAAGAAAGATTTTTATCTAGCGATTCACCTAATACATATGAAAAAAGAATTCAGCCTTTATTATTAGATTAGATATTGCAGATAATGATGTGCAAGTTTTAGGATTTCTTAAAAGTCACTTATCAGGTGATTGGATTAGAAAATCTAGGATATAAAGAATGATATTTGTTCTAGTTTAAATTATCACATAATAGTTTAAATAGATTGGCTGATTTATAATTTGAACATTTCTTAATTTTATATTTGAGTAAACTATATTTATAATAATGTTTGAAAGATAGAATATCTAATATAAAACGTTTTCTTTGAATTTTTGATATTAGAATTCAGCTATGATAAGATTTTTTAGAGAGTTAAAGTTAATAAAAGCATAAGAATAAAAATAATAATTTTAGTATCATATAATAAAATAAACATAGCCTTAATATGAGTCAAAAAATCAAGAAATTGAGTATTAAAGAATAGACCAGTTAATTTGAGTTCATATTGTTATCTATAAGTGGTTGAAAAGGATCATAATTAGTTAGTTCGACTCTTAAGATAAATTTGAAAAATAGGATAGACCAGATATTATAGTAATAAGGTTTAATTGTGTTACTATTTTTGAGGACATTAAACTTGTATATATAAATTTTAACTTAAATTGATTATTATATAGATAATAAAATAAAGTAAGAAATCATGATTTCTAAATTACATCCTTAACTTTGGATGGGGTTTGACTCTTATATAACTAAATTTTTTAAATTAGATGTCACGTGATAATTACAGTTGAGTTGCTTCTTATGAAAACGAATTCATTATATATAATGTAGTTTAATTTCTTTAATGCCGGCCAAAATCATGTGGAAAAAATTTTTTATGTGAAGTTATATATCACGTAATATTGATAACGTTTGTACGACAAAATCTAAATCAAAAAACAAAATAGATTTTTTCTCTTTTTTTTTTAACAATGTTTTTTGTTATTGATCCTGCAAATGTCGAAACCTTCAAATACCTTGAAAATGGAGGATGCGTAATACAAAATCAAAGGCTAAAATACGATCTTTTCTTACCTTACATATTGAAGTATTACAAACATTATGAAGTGGTATTTTTAAAAGCGAGTTTTTTTCAGGTAACAATTTCCCATACAAGTAATTTACTTTTATTTATTATTTTTCGTTTTATAATACCTTTATGTATATTACAAATTTCTAGTTTGATTTAGTAAAGAGCATTTTAGAATTAAATAGAAATGATATTATCAGTGATGTAGAAAGACTAGTAAGAGAAAAGTCAACGTTATTAGATAAAATATCAGAGGTACAGGAAAATGTCTGTTGATTCTAGTATTTCCAATCAGTTCTAATTACACATTTTTATTAAAGGGCAAAATACCACAAAGTCATATTCATACTCCTACTCAAATTTCAAGTGATCATGAAACAATTATAAGGCATGTCGTGTTAATTTTCTTCCATTGGAAACATAATTACTTTATTATTTATATCCTAATAAATAAATCCTAGACTTGTATTACGAGATTTATATAATCTTGTAATTATCGCAAAAGCAAAGTATGATCAAGGTCCCACGAGCGTACAAAATTGCATTGACATCTTGAATGGAAATAGATTATTATTACAAACCCTCAAGAAAGAATCGGTCAAAAATATTGATTATTATTTGCCAATAATATTGTATATTTGGAAACCTATCGAATTGGATATCACTTATGAAGTAAACGATCATATTCTAATTAGTTATAATTGATGTTCTTTAATAATTCGGTCTTTTGAATAGGATGTAATCCGTGCATTGCCGCTTTTAAGTAATTGTGATGATTTAATTAGATGTTTGGTCGCTAATAATCCACAAATGTTTCATAAGGTAAAATGATATTCAGAAATTTCTATAATAAGTTTTTATTTTTAATATGATTTAGTTCTCGTTCTAGATCACAGATATTATCCTAGAGATTCACAAAAATTATCCTCATAAATATAAAGATCGCATCAAGTTTGTTTTATTATTTTTTTTGATTTCATATTCTTTTATATCAGATTATAATGATATCTTCAATTTTCTTTAAAAAGAAAAATGCTGTATACTATGGTTAGTCTCGCAACACATCACGCATTTAACATGCGGCTTAAGCTGATAGATTTAAAGATATTACCGGAAGTTGTGTTGCGACTTACTGTTCTCTGTTCAGATGTTGTATGTATCTTTTTTGTATGAATTATTCAAAAATCAAATTCTCATATCATTTTATACTTAGGTATTATGCCTTGAAGGAATTTTCTCGCGAAATCCTAAATGGATAACGTCACAACAAATTCCACAGGATTTAATCAATGACTTAAAAAGTAGCTTATTTATAACTTTGCGCAATTGTGTGGTAATGTTTAATTATAAAATTAAGAATAAAACTAATACTTTATATTTTAGCATTAAACATTATTTTATTTTAATTCCAGAATAAGGTACAACAACCATTAACTCATCATCGAGCAAGGCTATGTATATTAATGCGGATTATTTGTGGTTTTGTACATTTATTTAAAGTAAATTATGAGCCAAACGAGTTAGAAGTTTGTTTAACAGTTATAGAACATGCCGGATCAGACAGGTAAAGTCTTCATTTAAACAGAACCATTATTAATTATATTTGATTCATGTTATCAATTCTTTCATTATATAGGCTCAAAAAATTATGTTTGTGCTTTTTGCTACTGTGTTCTGAAATGTTAATTAAAACGAACAGGGTAAATTTTATCTTATTTAGTTTTAATTAATTCTTTCTAATTGATAACTTTTACCAAAATTATTTGTCTATTATCTCAGAAATTACTTGTAAATTCCTTTGCAAAAATAGTTAATCAGAATAAGCAGTTGTTTTTGATATTTGCTTATTTTTTCCGTACAAGTCAACTCGATCAAATATCAAAAATGTGTATTTCAACTCTGGCTATGGATATTGAAATATGTATTTATGTTCTCTATTTACTTATGAATGTTTATTGAGTCTTACTCGTTAATGAATTATTAATCAGCTATTGATTCGTTTAGCTGGTTACGGTTTGGTTGAGTTAAGAAACGCAACGAAGGACACCCTTTTCTCTGAAGTTACTTTAGCTAGAAGTGCTTTGGAAATAGAACCAGACACTTTTGATGGATTAGGGGTATGTTTATAATAACAGTAATCATTTTATTGAAGTTTTGATTAATTTTTAATATATCCTCTCGGTTTTATAGTTGGCAAAAGATCCTAGAGATATTGCTTTTAATGTTGTTTACGTGATGTTGAAAGGTGGAGTATTTCATAAAGGCAAAGTAGATATTAAGCCTTGGATGATGCGACAAATCACACAAGCAACATTACCAATCCATTCTCAGTTATGCCCTTTAATAAAGACATATGCTTCTAGGTAAACATTTTTTCATTTATGAATTATTATAGCGGCGGTTCTTTTGAGATATTTAAACTGGAGTTAAACATTGTTTAGCATCTTTGACATTCACGGTATCGTTTATCCAACTCCAATGAGCAAAATACCGGAATTTCATATATTTTCGTTCTTTCGAGAGAGAATTGAGAAAATTACTCCAGCACATATTCTTTTGTTTTATTATGTACTCCAGTTTAATATAATTGCGAGAGAACGGAAGTCAGTTGGAGGTCAAGCATCATTACAAAAAACTAGTATGTCATAAAATCCATCATTTATTTGTTTTTAAAATGAGAATTAAAATTCATTATTGACTTTATTTTTTTGAATTTTGATTAGTTTACTATTCCAATTTACCCTATTCTTCGAGTCTCATGGAATCAATTCCCGTTCGAAGAATACTAATTGAGGCGGAAAAATGTGACAATGGCTTAGCATATCGTAATGTTTATCCTGAGCTTCTTGGACTCATTGCTTCAAATTATCCCGAAATTTTTGACATAGAAAATCTTTTAACTGAAGAAGACCATCTTCCAAAGTAATTATTCATTCTTTTTATATATCCGGTTTAGCAAAGAACAGATTTTTTATTTAGATTGTTATGTTTAAATAGGACTTTGAGGCAAAGTCGTTCGGTTATCGAAAATTTTATTCAAATATCCATTCAAAATTTGGAGTCAAATCCAGGAGTGGCTTCAAATGGTAATTTTCTCAAATATAATCTATTAGTTATTATATAAAAAAGCCTACTAAATTTTGTTCAATAATGTAGCCTTGAAAACTTTGGAATCTATGGAACCAGGGGATTTGTCAACTCGTTGTAATCAACTTATGCTATCTTTAATACCGAGAATCCTTTATCTGTTTGTATCTGGCTCCTGTAATTTGTTTTTAGATCTTTTTACTTATCTAATTTAAACTCGTGTATAGCAAGGATTTCGGAATCATAGATTTGGTATATCGAATCTGGTTGTCACTCTATAGTATGAATCCTCATGAAGCATCTTTATTGTTCATAAATGCAACTCGAGGACATCAAGATCAGGAAATAAGGTTTATTATTTTACTTGCTATTTAGATTGCTATTTTAGAAGTATTGTTATAAATTCCATTATTATTTTCGTATACAGATTTACGGAGTTACAACTTATGATGGATCCATTGTTAGTTATGCGCTGTGATCCTCAAGTGTTTAGATGTACTCCAATTTTTAAAATCTTTATAAAGGTATTTAGATTATTTGTATGTATTTATCTTGATATATTATTAAATTTATATTATCTTTTTTTTTAGGTTTTGAAATTTTATATGAGAGGTTCCCGATTTAGATTAAACCGACTTCAACAAGACGAAAGTGAACACTTGAAGGTAATTTCTTACAAGTATTGAAATTTTTCTCTTGTATTTTTTGATAATACTATATGTATATTACCTATTAGGATCGTTTTACGTTTGAAAAGATGGATAAACTGATATTAGTTCAAGAGATTTCATTGATGAAAATATTACTTGAAATTTGTGAATCTAAACCGGATGATTTAAATAATCCAGGTATATTACAATTAACCGAGATGTTTTTAAATCATGAATTATATATTAATTGATTATCGTTTTTTTAATAGGTGTATTGGAGGAAATTAGAAGCGAAACGTTTAGCTTCCTTCATGAATTGTTCATTCAAAACACAATGCTATGTAGGGAATTACATTTTGAAGGTTATTCTATTGAATTAATACCTTTGACCACGCGTAGAATCGAGTCAATGCGTAAGTGTATATATGAGTTGTTAAGAAATTGTTTATTAAATTAATATTTATATCCATATTTATATTTATATTTTTTTTTAAAAATAAAAAAAATCTAGATATGTGTATAAATTTTGCGCCTGAATTAATTAACGATAAATCTGATCCAAAAAGACAGTTATTTGGACTATTTTTGGGTAGTCAACTTTGTGAAGTTTGGCCCATGGAACAAACGTAGGTTGCATTTATAGTTTTCTTAACAAATATCCTTCTAATATGTTATATTTTATTAGATATAAGCTTGCGAAAGATTGTATAATAGAAAGAATTAAAGAAAAATCTTTGCAAACAAACGAAAAGACGTTATCTGAAGAAGCGAAGAAGATTTTACCGATTTTAATCCTGATTTATAATGTATTTATAAATTTACGTCATGAAGTTATGAGAATATTAAGAGGCAAGTCTATTTTCATTTAATTCATTCATTTTTATTACGGTAAATTAATTGTTTGTACTTGAATATTAATATTAGATCTAGAAGCGAAGTTTAGACCACAGAGAGGTGCAACCACGTTTGGAATGAAAAGGACATCAGAGAAATTTATTGCACAATTATTAGAACAAATTCGTGAAAAACCTGCGAGTTCATTTAAATTTCAAAGAAAGAGAGTTATTCTGAGGGCAGATATATAATTTCCTATTATTAGACAATTCTAAAATAATATTATTATAATCTTATTTATCTTATTTAATTTAAAAGTTATTGTGATAATGTGAAAACTCATTACAAGTGTAGATGTATAATTAATTATGTACAGTAAATTTAAAAAAATAAAATATTCTATTTATAAAATTTTATGGTATTTAAATTTTTGCCATCTTTTTTTAGTTAAAAATTATTCGAATAATAATATTCTAAAAAATTTGGCATTGATAACATTTTATAAATAGAGAAAATTTATAATAGTAAATATTACAACTTTATATACAAATGAAATTTAATAAATAAGTATCTTTTAGTATTTAGTTATATAAAAATTTCTATTAAATTATATTATTATTAATTTTATTTCTTAAATTTACATATTATTAGTGTGGAGAAATTCTTATAATCTCTTATATAATAACACTTCACATGCATTTTTGTTAATCAAATTTAAATCTTTTTGTCAAAGATTTGGTTGATATCACCCATAATACAAGACAGATATCTTCTGTAAAGTTTTCAATCTTAGGAAATTTATATTTTATAATTACTTTTTAAAATCACTAAATCTAGATTATATAAAAATTTATTAGTTTTATTACATTAAACATATCTTTAAGTTCAAAATTACTAATTAATTCATATAATTTTTGCTTTTTTAGTTTTTTTAGTTATTTCATTATTTATATTACTTTAAGTCTTATTATTATATTGCTTAATATTGTGTTTTTTTTAAAAAATTATTTAACCATCTAGCTGATTTGGTAAAACTTTCAATATTCATTAATTTTATAAAATCAGTAGTTTAAAATCCATTTTTTCTAATTTAAGAAATTTTAGTAAATTTTTTTTTGTTTAGTCATATTAAAACTATTAAGTTTTAAATTTACCAATTTTTCTTTATTTTTTTAAAATATCACAAATACTATTTTTTTTTCACACCAAATTTTTATTCTATTTCTTTTTATAATAATAATGAATTTTTTTGAAAAGCAAATATAATTCTTTTTTTTTTTTTAAAAGATAGAACATTTTTTTAATATTGTTTATTAATTACATTTTTTTCTTTTTCAGTCTATAATGTGGTTAAAAAAATCTGATTATCTAAACAATAAAAAAAGCTGATTAACTAAATAATAAAATGTAGTTAAAAAAGATCTGATTATTTGAATAATGATTGATTTTACCAATCATATGATTAGTATATCAAAAAAAATTTATTATGTTTTATTATAATTGGTGAAAATGGTGAATCAATAAAAATTTGATATATATTATATTAAGTTTTATATGATATTTAATATATCAAAACTATTTTAAATATTATGAATTTGAATTTTAAAAAAATGTTTAAAAATCAAGAATTTGTTATATTATGGGTTAATTATATTAAGATTAAACTATATTTACTTAACATTAAAATTATAGAAATTAAAAAATATATTCTTATAAGTAATATTAAAATAGGAAAATTATTTTAATTATTTACCCATCAAATTAAATGATTATTTTTAATTTTTATATTCTCAATATAATATAATATAATATTTTATTATTTTTATATTTATATATATTAATTACCTTCTAGATTATAAAAAAAATTATCATCGTTATATTTTCTGGATTCTTATCTTTAGCATTATCAGAAATACATAGATTTATTTTCAATTAAAGTTTTAACCAATTATTTTACCTTATATTATTTGTTATTTATTGCTAATATTTAAATCTTAGATCAAAAAATGTAATAATTAAGTCAGAATAAATCATAATTTATTTAATAAAAGATAAATTGTAATTCAAGCCTCTTTAAACAAATCAAGGGTTTTAACTGATAGTAAATATTTCACCTAATTTGTATTTTTTGCAGTAATTTTAATCACATTTATTTATTAATTGATTTCTATTAAATCCTTTTTCATTTCTTTTCTTAATTACAAATACTTATTCTTAAATGTATATATTATTATTAGTAAATAAATATAATATATATATTATTATTAATTATTTTATTATTATTATTTTATTCACAGTAAAAACATTTATATCAAAATGTTATTTACAAATTAATTAAAATAGCTCTTTACAAATTACTTCTCCATTATATGAATATCAAAGATAATCACAAGAAAGGAATGCTTCTTGAATTCACAAAAGTGTTAATTTATAATTTAAACAAAAAGTTATTCTATTTATACAAAATCAATTTGCTATAATTAACTTATTACTATACTATAGACTAACTAAATTTGTAACTATAAGTGTAAATATATAAAATATAATAAATATAATAAATAAATACATAAGTAAGAAAATAATTCTTATGAACTTAATATATAATAAAAATAATAAAAATATGGAAAAAAGTAAAATTAAAAAAATCAGATGTATTAAACTGACTTATAAGATCAAAGAAATTAGAAGTTTATTGTTAATCATTCAATATAATATTTAGCAAACTTATTATATCATTATTTTATAGATTACTAATGATTAGTATAATAAGATTAATTTCTATTATTTCTAATACTGACAATATATATATACTGTATAGTCCTGATAATAAGCATCCTTTTTTGCTATATGGATGCTTATTTTCAGGTAAATTTAAATTGGTTTTGTGAAATATGCTACTTGTGATAATGATTGATGATCAATATAATCGTAATTGTTACGTAAACATAAAATCATAGAATTACATGATTTATGTGATTTACGTAAAATTTATATTGTTCTTTTTCATACTTGTTCTAATTACCATACACAAATATAAACAATGTCACAAAAATGTAAACGGGTTGTTAAAAGATGTAAAAGTAAAGCAAAAATTTCTAAACGTACTTGAACTTCATATTCTTATTGAACAGAAAGAGAAAGTTGTTAATTATGCTAAGAAACATAGAAAAAACAACGTGGCAGCATATTTTGATCTTAATAAAAGTATGATTAGATGCTAGGTTAGAAAAATGGACAGAGGTAAGCAAAAATAGCAAAGGTATTAGTTCCAGATGAAAAGTTTTTTATTCTGAAGCTGAAAAAAAGCTTTACGATTAGATAATTAATCAAAAGAAAGTAGGTTTAGCTGTAAACTATGCTATCATACGAGTTAAAATGTTAGAAATTATAAAAGAGCCAGATATTGTAGCTCTTTATGGTGATTTAACAAATAGCTTTAGGCTGTCAAATTACTGGTTATATGCATTTATAAAAAGACAGAAACTTTCTTTAAGACAATGCACAAAAATTGAACAGAAACTTCCAAACTAAACTGAAAAATTATTGAAGAATTTTCATCGATTTGTTATTCGCCTTAGGATTGAAAAATCCTATGAAATGTGTAATATCTTCAACATAGATGAGACGCCGGTATGGTTCAACATGACCGATAATTTAACTGTTAATCAAACAGGTGAAAAATGGTCCATATACGTGGAATAAGCAATGAAAAAAATAGTTTACCGTTGTTCTCACTTGTGCTGCTAGTAAGAATTATTATTTATATCTAGTAAGTTTTTTAGATAATCTTTTTTTTTAAAATATTTTAATATTCTTTTTATATAGATAGAAGTAAATTACCACCAATATGTATATTTAAAGGGAAAAAAATGAATTGTGATAAGCAAATTCCACCTGATGTAAAGATTTGATTTTAAGATAATAGATGGATAAACACAAAACTGATGATAAAATACATTGATTATTTTAATAATAATCGATCTATGGTACCAACAATACTTATTTATGATTCTTTTCAAGGCTATTTAGAAGAATCTGTTAAAGAAAAATTCTGTAATAGTAATGTTAATTTAGCAGTTATTCCAGGTGGTTTGACGAGTATATGCCAATCACTTGATGTTACTATTAACAAAACATTTAAGGATAACCTCTGTAAAGAATAGCATTTATGAATGGTGGCTGGTGATGCTGAAGAGACTTCTGCAGGAAATCTTAGACACGCTAAGTATAGTGATATTTGTAATTGGATAAAACATTCTTGAAAAAACATATCTGATGAAATTATCATTAATTCTTTTGTAAACTATTCTATAACAGATTCTTTAGATAATTTAGATGAAGAATTAGGAATTTTTGATATTGATGATACTAATAATAAATATTAATTAATGGGTTTTTATAATAGTTTTATAATAGTTAATAGTAATTTTCAATTTACTAAATTCATTTTTAGTTTTATTTTCAATAAATTTATTACAATAATGAAATAATAAATATTTTTTGATTTTTTATATGTTTTTTCAAAGGGTACTTATTTTTGGATAATATTAAAAATGAGGTGCTTATTTTTGAGATAGTGTTTATTTTTAGGACTATACAATAAATGAAATTATAATATAATATTTCAATTATTATTAATTAATTTTAAATTCTTTTATTTAAATAATATAATAAGCTAACCATATCAAGATAATTTATTTTAAATACTTATCTATTAAATTTATATTTTTCAAATTATAAAATTATATAATTAATCAATTATATAAGAAAATATTATTTTATAAATAAATTAAAATATAAAATAAATGTTAAAAAAATTTAATTGTAAAATAAAAAATTGTTTTCAAATAAGAAGTTTTATGAATTTAATAATTAAAATTAATAGTTATTAATTTTAAATCAATTTTTGATAAAATTTTATCAAGCAATTTAAAAGATATTTCAGATAATATTTGAAAATATATATAAAGTCAAAATAAAAACCCAAAAATCAAAATGTTTTAACTTTGAAAGTCAAAGTCGAAATAAAAGTTGAAATAGTCAAAATAATATTATATCATATGATTTTTCATATAAAACATTAAAAAAAAAAAAAAAATAATCTTGATCAATTTACATTATAATTACTATTCAATTTTATATAACTAGACAGATTTAATGAGCTAAATTTCATTAATTTTTAATCGGTTAATCTCGTAATAATCATGATTAAATTTTAAAAATCTCAGCATTTTATTTAAAGTAAAATATA